TTCTCGAGAAAGGTTTTTCCACTATGGTTCTATTGGCATAATATCTATATGAGTATCTTTGGTGATATAATTTAATTCATAAGATCTTGAGTTTGATGGAGTGGTTACTGGGTTAGTGTTGTGGGTAATATTCTTGGATGGAGATTGAGAAATCTGTTTTCAAGTAGAAGGTATTGAATTTGGTTCAAGGGCATGTCCTAAGGCTGCTATTGGGTCGAACTTATTGTGGAATAGTAATGGAGATTGAGAACTAATAGCCTCTAAAAATGTTGAAGATTTAGAAGGTAACTTTGTATTGAAGGATTGTGGTAATCTTCTTGTTGAGCTCGGCGATGCCGATAGTTGTCTTGATGCTTCGGGCTGAGCCGTTTTAACAGTATTGCTGATTGGAGCCTTAAAAGGCGTCCCATATTGGTCTTTAGTGCTTTTGCTCATTTTTCTTGTAAAAACTCTCTTGTCAAGTAATCAGGTAAAGTGTTGGACTCTCCTTTGATATGCTCAATCTCAAAGTCAAAACATGATAATAAGGCTTGCCATCTAGCAAAAATATGTTTTGAAACTAAATTTTTAACATCTTTTTGTAAAACTGACGGTGCTGCTTTACAATCTGTTCTAATCAAAAATCTTTTTGAAAATAAATCATCTTGAAATTTTTGAAGACATAAAACTATTGATAAAATTTCTTTTTTGACTGTTGAATATTTTTGCTGAGCTGGATGCCAAATACCTGAATGATATCTGACAATTTGTTCTTTTGATAATACCTTTTGTTTTAAAATTCCCCCATATCCTAAGTCTGAGGCATCTGTCTCGACAATAAGATAGGCATCTGGGTCAGGAATCCCTAAACAGGGTAATCTTTTGACTATTTGTTTAATTTTAATAATAATTTGGGTCATTTCTGGGTCCCATGGTTTTGGATTCTTTCTAAGTCTTGTATATAATGGGGCACAAATAACTCGAATATTGGGAATAAAGTCTGCTACATAATTGACACAACCTAAAAATCTCTGAAGTTGAGTCTTATCTTTTATTTCATTTGGAAACTTATCGGCAAATTCTATTGATCTTTGAATTGGAGTAATAGTTCCTTGATAAATTTCATAACCTAAAAATCTTATTTTTGTAGAAAATATTTTAATTTTCTTGGCAGAGACTACTAATCCATTTTCTTTGACTAAATTAATAAAAGTTTTTAAATGTTCTATATGTTGATTAATAGAGTTAGAAAATATTAATACATCATCTAAATATACTAATGCAAATTTCATATATGGGTAAAAAATATCATTCATAATATTTTGATATTCAGAAGGGGCATTTTTTAATCTAAATGGAAGTACATTCCACTCGTAATGTCCAAATGGAACATTAAAAGCGGTTTTGTACTTATCTTCTTCCTTCACCCCAATTTGATAATATCCAGATTTCATATCAAATTTTGAAAATATAGTTGCATGAGTTATTCTTTTAATTAAATCTTGTTTATTGGGTAAAGGATATCTAATCCATTTTAAGACTTTATTTAGTGGTTTATAATTGATAACTAATCTTGGTGCTCCTCTTTCTAACTCAGCGGCATTTAATACATAAAAAGCTGAGCAACTCCAAGGAGATTTAGAGGGTCTAATTAATCCTTTATCTAAATATTCTTGAATTTCCTTTTTACAATATTCTAAATATTGAGGATTCATTTGTATTGGTCTTGCTTTAGTATTAATATTCTTTTCATCGAAATTTTCTATATATGGTAATGATACTTCATACTTTTTTCTATGCCAAAAAGCTGTTGGATTTAACTCACAAATTTCTTGCTCTATTTGATTATTAATTTTTTTAATAGTTTCTTGAACATTTTTATTTAATAATTGTTCTTCTATTCTTTTATATTGAATTTCTTTAGATAAAAAATTAATTTGTTTTCTTTTATTTTCTATAATACTTTTTTCTCTTAATAAATTTAATTCTCTTGATTTTGGTGGGTGTATAAATTCAAAACATATTGAATTTCCTACAACTTGTGTTTCTAAACCATTTGGAGTAACCTTAAAAGGATATAATAATGATAGAAAAGGTGTTCCTAATATACAAGGAATATTCATATTTTTAACTAATACAAAAGAGGCTTCATAACAGATTTTGTTTTTACAAATTTTTGCAGATGATAATTTATAATTAATTTTCATATAAGAATTATTGGCACTCAAAACTTTTTCAGAAGACTTTTCATAATATTTTGATGGAATAATACCTTCTTGTAAACAGTTAAGATCAGCTTCTGAATCTATTAAATAATTAACTTCTATATATAAAGCACAAATGTCTTTCTTGTGCTATAGCGTTTTTAGAGGCTTTTCTTTAACTAGAAGAATTTTATATATTTTTAAATTTTTTTTATCTAATTTAGTTTTTATTTATCACTATTACTTATAAATTAATTTTATTATTTTTAACATAAATTATTAATAAAAAATAATTACTCACGGATTTATCCGTGGGTAACTACCCACAAATACATCCATGGGTAATTCCGTAGGTAATTATCTAATTTAATTTTGTCAGAAATTGATTTGTCACCTTGTTTAATTGAAGCTGCATCCTGCTGTATTATCCATCCACAAGATACTCTGTCTGATTGAAGGCGAAACAGAGTGTACGATCCAAGAAACTACCATATTGTTGCATCGCTTCCAGGCTGCATGAAGAGTATCACTTTTTGTTGGTCGCTGTATCGATCCATCAACGAACTCAGCTTTATTTTTCGCACTCAACGCAGTAATCATCGATCTATTCCAAGAATTATAATTGGTTGAATCAAGCACCGGTGAGACCAGGGCTGAGGCTGGATTCTCACCTGGATGAAGATAATATGGGCTATGAACATTGAGCGATTGGTCTTTCTCAACCATGTCACTCATGATGAAAAAAAAGGTGAGACGTAACGGCTAAAGGGAGAATGCAAGAATCAAGAACAAAAAGAGAGTGGCGCAGCAGAGCTCTTCAATTGAAGAGCTCTGATACCATAACAAACATATAGGAATTCATGAATGAATTTGCACAAAACCTGTGAAACTTCATAAACAGACCTTCCATAGAAAGAATGAGAAAAGATAGAATTGGAAGAAAAACTGTTTCATCAAAATGAATTTGAGTTAATTGAATTACAAAGTTATCTGCCTCTTTATATTGAGAGTCAAATTAAAAACTGAAAATATATTGTTAACAAACTATATTTATAGTTATAACAAACTATATCTAAGATCCTATTCCCATAATTTGTGTTGATTTCAAAATTGATTTAGTTCTGCTTGTGCAGGCTAAAATTCTTGCCAATTATAGACCACAAATCAATATTACATTATTGATACCAGAGCTAAACCTAACAAAAGAGACAACAACAAAAGCCATTACATATTTTAAGAACACTCGCCACATTGTTCTCTACTACGAGGATCTCGTCAATAATCGCACGGTAAGGACACATTGTGTTACTTAAACCTTAAACGTATGTTACAATCGTGTGTGTTCTTTTGTATTTTGCATGGGTGTTTGCGTGAGGGTCTTTGATGGTTTTTCTAAACATATTTCAATGTTTTATATTTCAGAAACTCAAGGATGTTCAAGAATTTCTAAAAGTGCCATACAGAGATCTACAGAGTCGTCAAGTAAAGATACACACTGCCCCATTAACGCAACAAATTGAAAACTGGGATGAGGTCAAGAAAGCGCTGACAGGGACACCATACCAAAGGTTTCTTGGAAAAGACTAATCCAATGTAGCAATTTTTTTTCATAAGATTAGACCAACATTTAATGTTCCTATATAGCTTGTACATGTAAAAGATTTTGTGACTAGGCATAAGATTATTTCAAGTATTTATCTGAGTGCAACTTTTTTTTGGAAAAAGCAAGCATAATGGAAGAAAAATAGAACAAAAAATTTGAAAAATGTTTATCAACTCTTACATTAATGAATAAAAAGTATAAAATTTCACTTCCTTATGATTGCTAATACAATTTTTAATAAAAACTTTCTGTTTATTAGTGTTCTAAGACCACTAGTTAATAAGACCTAGATTATTTTTTTCAATCTAGTGACTAGGTAAATGGTTTGATTTAGTGTGATCAAATGCTAACATTCTAGCATTCTCTTAAACAGACAAGAGTATAAATTATTTTGGTGAGTACTACATAAAACATCAACTAGGGGAGTGAATAATTTATTAATCAATGTTACATTTTTTTTTCTTTTAATGGAAATTAAGTCGTTCTTATCTTGTAAGACAAATTATATAAACTTGATATATTATCACTAGGCACAACAATTAAATTCGAACTCATGAATACCCATCCAACCTCATCATGAGTCGTGCCTTTAATCAGAAAAATCACTTTGATCGGATTTGTTCTATTGTCATTTGTCACTAACTCTTCCTATTATCAACATCTTATTGTTTGTCATTTACGACTAACTTGTCAGCGCTATTTGCAGATTATTATTTTTACTCAAATCTAGCATAACATTATCCATGATTACCCTTGCTTAAAGGTGATATAATAAAATTAAAAAAAAAACTTATAATTATAATTATATGCTCTAATTTTATACATAAAATAAAGAATATAATAATTATGATTCTGAAATGATTTCAATTATTAAAAATTAAAATAAAAATTTTGGGCTATAATTTCAATATCATGCATCAAACGTATTGTAAGAGTATTTCCAAAGCAGAGCGTGATTTATTGTGCACACACAAAATAATATTCTTATGTATTGTTATAAGAATAATTATACTACAGATAATAAATAAAAAACTTTATTAAAAAATTATCGCTATAAGATTCATTTATATTTGAGTTAAATGTATTTTTAGTCTTTATAATTTTTTTTTTATTTTTCATCCTTAGACATTTAAAATTATTTTTTTCTATTAAATAAAGACATTTTTGTTTTAGTTTTTATAAAAAAAATATTTATTTTCATCTTTTTAAAATTTGAATTCATTAACTTAAATCTCAATGTTGATTTTAAAGTAGATAAATAGTACTTATTTTAGGTATTTTGGAAATTTTAGAAATATCACACTAATATGTGTTACAATTAATAGGTGATATCTAACATTATCACTTGATAGAGATCTTTACATGAAAAGCTAAGGAGTGACAATAATAGTAAAACTGTAAGGTAGTGTTTGTTTCCGGGAGAGTACTCTATACGAGCAAAGAAAGGCGTGGAAAGTATCTGTTTGTTTTTCCTGATTTGGAACGAAAGAAAGGCGAAGAAAGGAGAGGGAAAGCACTGTTGCTCTCCTCACACAAAAGGGAAGAAAGGAGGTGAAAGACACGTAAGATTTGTGAAAATCTAAAAATACCTCTCCCATGCATGTGCCATGCAGCAGATAATCGATTATGCTGTATATATATACACAGCATAATCGATTATGCTATGTATATATATACAACATAATCGATTATGCTGTGTATATATATACAGCATAATCGATTATACTCTGTATATATATACAACATAATCGATTATGTTGTATATATATACATAGCATAATCGATTATGTTATATGTTATACATATAACATAATCGTATATATATATAAAATATTAATATTTAATATATAATATTTTAAATTAATATAATTATTTAATATTAATATTTAATTTATATATATTTTAAATATTTAATATATATATATATATATTTAATATTTATTTATTTATGTACTTTTTTCGGTTCCGTTAACTACTTGTTATACTGTTTGGAAATGCTTTATGCAGGCTGAAGACGGTGTTGGTATCATTTAAATTAAATTATTTTTAATTTTTTTTAAATTTTTTTAATTAAAATTTATATATATTTTTTTTAATTATAATAATTATAAATTTTTTTAACTTAAGGGTAAAATAGTAATCTTACACAATTATCAATTAAAAAATTTATTTTTATCTATCATATCAATCAATTCACTCACAAACTTTCACAAACTTTCTCTACACTTTCTACTCACTTTCCCTTAATCCAAACAACCTCACTTTCCACTCACTTTCCCTTCAAATCTTTTCTTTTCCACTCCCCCTTTTCCATCTTCAAATCCAAACAAAGCCTAAGAGTTGGTATATGAGATCAGGTTCACATGTTGATCCAAAAACTCACGACCCAAAACAATTAATGATTCTATTTTTTTTTATTTTTTTTTAAATGTGCGTAATTATAGGAGAACTTGAGTCCAATCTATGAAACCTACGACTTTCTGCTTAAGGGTACTGGGAGTATCTTCTAAAGTATTAGGAGTTCTCATAACTATTTGTTTCTTCTTGTTTTTGGTTCCTATACTGCTAATTGTTTCAAAAATTCTTGATAATTTTGAAGGTTCTTTGATAGTGGTAAAGGCGTGCGACGGGCGCCACCCCTTTTTCCTTAGTATACGGGATGGAGGCAGTCTTGCCTATTGAAGTGGAAATTCCTTCTTTGAGATTACTCACGGAGGCAAAGCTCCTAGAAACCGAATGGGTTCAAACCAGATTTGACCAATTAAATCTCATAGAAGAGAAAAGGTTAGATTCCATTTGTCATGGGCAAACATATCAAAGGAGAATCAAGAGAGCCTTCGACAAGAGAGTCCAACCACGACCATTTGAAGAGGGGGATCTAGTACTCAGTAAACTTCTACCAGCACAGAAGGATAAGATAGGGAAATGGACACTGAACTATGAAGGCCCATATGTGGTCAAGCGAGCCTTTTCTGGAGGAGCATTGATCCTCACTAACATGGATGGTGAAGAACTCGCTTACCCAGTAAACTCTGATTCCATGAAGAAGTTCTATGCTTAAGCGCAAAAAAAAAGGTGTTAAAGCAAGAAGAACGGATGACCTAGAAGCCCCATCACCCTCTATAGAAGTCAAGAAATTACTGAAGCGGTGCTGATCAGACAACTAGGAGGATGCCAAGCTTTGTTTCTTAAAGTCATGATCGCTCAAGCCCAGACACCAGCCAACCTTGGCTAGTTTTTTCAAACCTCCTATTGTAACCCTCCTTGAAATTTTCTGATTTGCAATAAAATACCATTATTTTCAGTTCTTTCAACCTTTATCTTTAAATGACATATTTTGGTATTAAAGAGAAAAATCAAAATAGCCCAGTAAAAAAGCAGTTAAATAGACGAAGCAATCCTATACGGGCCTCTAAAGTAAGCAAAAGTTATGTGCGAATCTTCAATCAAAAAAAAAAACTAAAGGGGTAAAGGGAAGCCACCTAACACCAATAGATTTCTAGAAAAGCTTAAATGCGTATGTATGGCATACAGAAAAGCGCACACTTGAAATAAATAACTTTTCACATCAAAAAGGGAATTATCCAAAAGGGCAGTAGGCTACAATCATTTTCAATCCATGCATGCATCACGAATAAAATCCCTAAAGAAAGCAATCAAGAAGGAAGCCGCGTGTGAAGGGGCAAAGTTCTTCCCTCACAATAGAGATCAGACAAGGTCAAGTAAATCCCTTACAATGACCAGACATATACAAAAAAAAGGCAAGCTTCGTATATGATTAAAAAAGCCGAAGCATTTAAGAAAAAATAGCAGAAAAAGGCAAGCTTCAAATATGAAAAAGCCGAAGCTAAAACAAAAAATGCAACTCAGAAAAAAGAAACCTACCACAAGCAGGCACCTGGAGAGGCATCACAATACTCACATGGCAGGGGAAACATTAGAATTCCTGTCATCCATCTATCTCTGCCCACCAACACAGGGGCACATCAAACATCTCCTGCCCATCCACTTAGGGGTAGTTGATCGAAGCCGTATCTGGTCAAATAATTGCAATTAAATGTAATACTAGGAAGTGACTCCTAGTTCGTCTCCCAAGGACCGTCTTTTACTGTTAAAGGCTTAAACACACGAAGTGGGGGGTTTGGTTCAGAATTCAGTTATAACACAATAAAACGTAGATAACACAGCAAGTAAAATAGATTGGCTCCTTGACTCTCCAAGCTTCCTACTCCTATATTTTCGTTTTTCCTTCATTGTAAAACACTTTTGGATGTATTGAGATTTCATTTCTGAAATTGTGTTCAGATTTCTCTCTTCTAAAAGTCCCTAAACCTCTTTGATTTCATCCAATTCTCTTATCCCTTCATAGAAAAGTGTGGTGATAATTGAAGTGGTTTATCTCTTCAACAAGGAGTGGCGCCTCTTGATATTGAATTTAGTATATTTTTTTATTTAAAATATATTGCATTTTTTCTAACTTAATATGCTTTAGATTAAATGTGTAAATTTGATGTGTTAATACTATAATATTTTAGTATAAATGTGTAAATTTTAATATTTTTTTATTAATAAATATTTATATGTTAAGACTTTTATAATTAATTTTTATTTTAGAATGTTTGATATTTATATTTTTGTGTATTTCATCCTCATTTTTTTTACATAAAAAAGAAGGATTTTTTTTCTTCAATTTTTTATTGAGCTCGCATGCTAAGACAAGCGAATCGAATACAAGTTAAAACAAAATCATTTATTTTGTAAATTGCATTTATCTAGCCCATTAAAAATGCAAATTTTGCATACTAGACTATAATTTTTAATTGTATAAAAATAAAAATATATTTTTTTTAATATAGACCAAACATAAAACTCACATCTTACATGGACTTAAAGACACACACAGAGTAACCATAGCATTAACATTATATTTTAAAAATCTGCTTTTATTTATTTAATTATTACTTTAAGAATAATGCTAGTTAACAAAATCGTTAACATATTTAGAAGAGGTAAGTATATTTTATATTGTCACTACAATTTTAATGATACACGTCCTAATAAAAGTATTGTAGAATTTTCTCCCTACTGAGCAACATGCATTATTCTCTTAATAGTTTGTGTTTCTACATGGAATAA